AACCAGAAAATGATAAAGATAACATAAGTTTTGGAAAATTAAGATAATGCTAATGAAAATATTAAAGATTAAGTTAGCTATGAAGAAATTAAAGATAAGAATTGATGATAATGATAGTTATGAAAATAATAAAGATATGGTTAGCTATCAAAAGATAAAGATAAAGATTGAAGATAATGTTAGCTATGAAGAGATTGAAAACCTGGTTGGAATGGACTTGTAGGGAAAGCAGAAGAAAATTAACACAGTTTATCTACTGAAGTTGACTATATGATGTATAGTGATAACTAGTTAAAAGATAACCCATAGTCATAGGAATATTGTACATGTATCTATATATCTGTAGATTTATAACATTGTTTTATGTAAGACAGGGGTTTTCATTTTGACCTGATAGCATTGTAAAACAACCAGCTGCATGTTATGGGCCACCCAACTATTAGGTACATGTCATTGGCCACTGAAGTACATGTACCACCCAACTTTTCTGTTCTATTCCAAATAACTAAGCATTCAGGTCTCTAAAGCATCAATTGTTTTTGTGGATGTTTACATTTTTTGTATGTTTAGGATTATGATTGACCCAAAGTTTTTATTCAGGAAAAACATTTTTTTGGCTTAAAATATTTGCTACATTGGAATGAAGCCATGCCATCAAGGTGGGCTTGACCCTGGTGACCTTTGACGCCATGATATTTAAGGTAAAGTGGGTCTAGCAATTAGAGGTCATCAAGGTACATGCACATGAAAAGTTAAGGGGCTATAGGTGGAAGGATGTTTATGTAACTGTTAATGTTAGACTTTTGTGACAAACAAACAGACAGATAGACCAGAAACATTGTGTCCTTTATGTTATGAAATATTTTATCTCTTTGGCAATGATTTTCGGCTTGCACTATTTACTGTTACAAAAAATATTGTACAAACATATTTCTTTCATACAGGTATTTTTTCAAAATTCAAACAATAATTTTGTCACTACATGCAGCAGATGTATAGTTTTATACACTGTAATAATATATTGTTGTAATGAAATAAATAGATACATGAAGTTGTAGCTGCGATGATTCCTTTGTAATCCAAGATAGAGACAATCTGCTAAATATATTTGTAATGTTTGCTTCGCAGTTACTTCCCTTTAATTCAGAAAAAGGGAGAGTATTGAAAATACAAGTTGTAAGATTTTAGGAGTAACCTCCCTTGCATGTTATATTAGAGCAAAGTAATTTGTTGAAAATATTATTATATAAGTCATCTGTTTTTAACATGTATATAACTTTGGCAGAGAAACTGAAAAAAAGTAAATCATGCAAACAGTGGATGCACTATTATTGTGCAATATGACTCGAAAATAAGAAGTTTTAAACAATTTTAATTCGAATTGAGCTAAGAATTGCATTAAAAAAATCTTTTTTTAATAAAAAAGAATTTCAAATTTTATACTTTTTTGGACCCCGGTAAAGGTCCTTAAATTACTGAATTTTTAAGTGAGTTATTTCTAAATTTCATTAATTTTTCGTTGGTCTGTACAAAAAAGTATTTTGTGTCGAAACTGCATTTTAGAAACACTTTAAACATGTATAGTATGTGATAGCTTTATGCTCCGGTTGTTCTGGCTATCCTTTTCTCCCTACCTACCTATCCTCTTCATGCCAGGTGGCACATTTGGCTTAGTTCATCTTTCATTTGCCAAGTACTTGGATGTTGTATTTTTGCATTTCTCTCTCTATCTGAGCAGTTTTACATGCTTCGTACATTGTTCGCACATTGCATGCCCCAATGTAACAAAATTGCTTTGGATTTAATAATGATGGTCTAGTCGTGCTTTGAGCAGTCATTTGTCCAATTCTGTTTGGGGGACCATCATCACTATCCTGATATTGGGTTTGTGTCTGGTTTGCAGTTTCCATAACTAAAGTTGTTTTTACAGGGTGCAGCAGTTGACACCACGCCTAACCTCCGCACTATTGGGCCGGGTTTTCTTTCAGGGTTGTCCTTCCCTTAGATGGCTGTAGTTCCCACTACTGTGAGGTCCATCTCCCCAGATTTTTTGTTTGGATTTTCTTCCAAAGCCTTTGACTTTCCAAAGTCACCCACAAGGCAGTGGGGCTATTTGACCCATAGTTGGGACAGTTTTCTATAACAGTGTATATATAAAGTGAAAGGTACCCATATGTCAAGTGTGTAATACATGATTTATTTTATTTCATAGAATGGTATTACACACGTTATATTATAAAGTTAGTTTGTAATTGTTGGTGCATCAATATATTGTCGAGTCATGTAAATATAGAACTTAGTCACATTTATCAAGTGTTCAGTAACACAGACCTCAAAAATTGCACGAAATTACAAACATCTTATTGAAAAAACAAAACAAAAACCCTTCTTGACAAGGATTTTTAAATACGTTTTAAGCTCGACTTTTTAAATAATAGCTAGGGAGAGCTATTGTACTCAGCACACTAAGGTTAAGATATTTTCTGTGTATGTTTGAATCTTCAAATAAGAGATACAATAAGTGGTGATATAAAATGGAGCAGCACTGTTTTCAAAGGGTATATAGTTATATTATGAAATATTTTTCATAAATTTTATCAACAGTAAAATTATATTGTTTGCATAATCATAAAGAGTTGTAATATATAATGTCTGTGTCAGTTTTCACACAAGAATATTTTATATAACCAGAATAAAATGTTCCCGAACAAAATATTATGCTGCTACATGTGTATTTAAGTAAGGTTTTAACCATGCAGCAATGATTTTGTACATTGGCCATTCGTTTTTTGAGGCCATATTACATGTATTATGAATTTTCTTTCAGACAAGCATTATGGAAGTATTCTATGTTAAAATTAAGACAATAATTTTTGCTGCAGATATATAATAGCTTTATAAACTTTATTTAAGGACGTCAATTTTAGACAACGGAACTATGATCTCTATGGTTTTATTTACCATTATGCCTAAGGCCACCGCATTCTTTATTTTGGTTTCTATCACTTATCTAGGGTTAGTTTTTTCATCATACATATTTATAAGGATTTTTTGGACAGATTATATGGCCCTGTATAAAGGGTTATATTAGTTTATATTACCAACAGCCATTAATAAAAAAAAAACAGTCATACAATTAGGAGATAATCTTTATAAAGAAAATTTAACTTTGCTTGATGGAAATTGAAATTTTTTAATTAGATGCAACTTTTTGTATATATGAACATCAATATTGTCCAAAAAAAATTGAAATTACAAACACAAAACTTGTTTTGAAGACAGATTTCTTGAAAGAGGAAGGTCTCTCACTATCACATCATTCTATGCAGTCTGTCAGGTTCCTGTTCATGCCTGAAATAATGCACAGATCGGCACCTGAGGTCTGTACCAGTAAAGCTGTTAAGTCGCAAATGGGCCTCTACTGTGCTCATGCGACGTTAAAACCAAACATACCAAAATTGGCTAATATCCTCCACATTGTTCCAAAGTTTGTGGTGCAGGGTAACAATTGACATGGTGCATTACTAATTACTGTCCAAAAGTCAAATATATTATTACAGAAATATAAAGTTTTGTCAAAAATGTACTTACTTTATGTTGAATTTCAAAATAAAATAGCAACTTGAAAACAACCAATCTTGTATAGATTTTTTATTTTTAAAAGAGACAACAGTTGTTGTTAAAGGATCCATTACAAGAGTTCAAAAACTGCATTTGTGTGTAGACATGTTTTAGAGGGCAGTGTGTATTTATGTAAACTGTAAGTTATGTTCAAAGTATACATAAATTTTGTTGTACAGAATCTGTTGTAATTTAGACATTTTTGTACACAATATTAATGTCCAGTGTAAAGAGATGTAAAAAATTTATGGCATAACACTATTAAAATTGAAAGCACTTGATATTTTGTTTGTCCTATATCTTATACATTCATCTACCAAGTTTATGCTTTCAGAATATGTAAGAAATGTTGATAGACCTTGTGTGCATCATGTCTGTCGATAATTAATAAGACCTTGGAATCACTTCAGAGCCAAATATCTTATTCTAGCATTCTTGCCTCTGTCAGCAGCAGATGTAAGATTCTTAATATTACATGTACAACGGTAAAGATACAATTAAACTTATAAAATGTGCCCTCGTACCGAGAGTACTGCTCAGATTACTATTCTTAGGCGTTTATCACTCGTATCAACTTGCTATAACTGCCTCATCTTCGAATTTTTTTTTTAGGTGGGGATTAAATTTTAGAAAAGCTTTAAATTTGTTGAACCCCAAAAATTGCAAAGGGTATTTTCTTGCTTAAAAAACAAGGCTCATCCCTGCATTTGAATTGTCCGAAATCCTCAATTATTTTCCCAGGTTTTTACACTTGTATACTTGTTAAAGCCCAGTCTTCAGAATTAAAAAAAAGGAAGAAAAATGTGTATTGACTTTAAGTAACAAAGAAGTGATGCAATTTTTAAATCACATTAACAAAAACTCCGGAGGTATGTAAGTTAAGATAAAAAAAATGTAAATATTCATAAAATTAGGCATACCCAATATAAAACTTTAAAAAAAAATTCTTTGTAAAAAAAAATACTGTAAAATCCCTATTAAACCCCCCTGGGGGCTTATCATTTTCCAAAAGGGGGCTATTATTACAACACATTTTTTCCTTAATCCAAAAATCATTGTGTTAGCAAGGTTGATAATAGCATTAAAATAGTTAGTTTTAAAGTTCATATGATACATGTTTGTGTTTACTATAAAATAAAATGAATTCTGAAGGATTTGCATAAAATTATGGATTTACTCATGAGTTCAGCACTAATGAGTAGACTTTTTTCATATCAAAAACCCACAGGGCCTTTATTAGGGGAGGGGCGTTTATTAGTTTTACGGTACTTTAACATGTGGCCAACATCTTAGTAGTATGACTACTAATAAATCTGGCCAACATCCAGCTGTAGGCAGGTAAACTGCTAACAAATCTGGCCAATATCTAGGTGGCATAGTAAAGTAATTGCATTTTATAGTCTAAGTTTCATGCTTACGCACGTTCACCGACTTTACAGCTATTACCCCTGGTCATCGGGCTACTGGTATCTATCTATCAATCTCCCTGGGGAGTCTTTTAACTCCGCTTAGTGCAGCCGACACTTTGGCGTAACGGAATTATACCACCCTCGCAGGTACCCATTTACACCTGGGTGAAGTGAAGCAATCGCAGGTAAATTTCTTGCTCAAGGAAATTAGCAGTGCCCCTGGTGGGGTTCGAACCCGGGACCTCTCGATCCCTAAGCGCTCGTCCTACCACTGGACTACTGCTCCTACATAGCTACAACCTATCTGGCCAACATCAAGGCAGCAGGATTTCTGATAAATCTGGCCAACATCCAGCTGTCGGCAGGTAAACTGCTAACAAATCTGGCCAATACCTAGGTGGCATAGCTACAACCTATCTGGCCAACATCAAGGCAGCATGATGTCTGATAAATCTGGCCAACATCCAGCTACAAAATATGCAGGGCTTCTGTTAATGGAAGTTAGTTGGGAGTCATTTACTCCTTGATTTTAGCTTGTGACTTCCAAAATCTAATACCTTTTCCTTCTTTATCTATAAAAATTTAATGTGACTTCCAATAACAGAGATTTTGCAGTCTCTGACTCCAGAAATATGGCCAAAATGTGTACACATCCAGGCAGTATAACAGCCAACATATCTTATTATATAAGACAGACAAGAAGAACGTTGAGTGAATAAGTTTTAATAGTACATGTATTTCCATATTGCACATAATTTGTCAATAAGTATATCATCACATAAATAATCAAGGATTTTAAACAACCCAAAATCTCATTTGCCTGTGTACACATGTCATTGTAACAATAGTCTGAAATTCTATCTAAGACCATTTCTTATGAGAACAATTATATTAACAAATAAAAAATGCATAGTAAAATATAAGCCCCATAATATATAAAACTTTAAAAAAAAAAGCTTATATTTTTCCATACAGGACCAAAAGAGTTAAAACTATAACAGGTATGGTAAAATTTGAGCCCCTCACCCATTCCATAGGGGACTTACATTTTAAACAAGAGGGCCATGATGGCCCTGTGGTTGCTCACCTGTATAAAGGCCCCCGGAGCAGGGCCGGTTTAAACCCAAGGGCTTTCATTTGAACAAACTTGGAAGTAAGGCCCCCATCATTACACCTTTAAACGGATTCGTTTCGTTTTACCACCAAAGGAACATTCGTGTGAAGTTTGGATGAAATTGGCTTAGTGGTTTATGAGGAGATGTCATTTAAAGTAAAAGTTTACGGACAGACGGACGACGGACGAAAAGCGATCACAAAAGCTCACCCTGTCGCTTTGTGACAGGTGAGCTAAAAACATTGTGTTCCTTATTTATCATTAAAATTTCACACGCCTATTTCACAATATGACTTAGTTATTGGTAAAATTTCTTACTCCTATTTTACAAAAATACTTAGTTATTGGCAAAATTTCATACTCCTATTTTACAAAAATACTTAGTTATTGGTAAAATTTCATACTCATATTTTACAATATTACTTAGTTATTGGTAAAATTTCATACTTCTATTTTACAATATTACTTAGTTATTGGTAAAATTTCATACTTCTATTTTACAATATTACTTAGTTATTGGTAAAATTTCATACTCCTATTTTACAAAAATACTTAGTTATTGGTAAAATTTCATACTCCTATTTTACAATATTACTTAGTTATTGGTAAAATTTCATACTCCTATTTTACAATATTACTTAGTTATTGGTAAAATTTCATACTTCTATTTTACAATATTACTTAGTTATTGGTAAAATTTCATACTCTTATTTTACAATATTACTCAGTTATTGGTAAAATTTCATACGCCTATTTTACAATATTACTTAGTTATTGGTAAAATTTCATACTTCTATTTTACAATATTACTTAGTTATGGTAAAATTTCATACGCCTATTTTACAATATTACTTAGTTATTGGTAAAATTTCATACTTCTATTTTACAATATTACTTAGTTATTGGTAAAATTTCATACTCCTATTTTACAATATTACTTAGTTATTAGTAAAATTTCATACTCCATTTCTAAAAATGGAAGCTGGACAAATCCATTACTCAAATTCAGCAGACACTTCACATTCAAATTCTCACAACACTTTCAATCTTGTCAATCAATATTTTTAGTCAGTAAAGCAAAAACAAAATATCCTAATCTTATCTTCTAACATACCTGTTTTTCATCCCAGTCTTTCAGGTAAAATTTCTTTCCTGTGAAAAATAATACTGCTTGCATTCTTATAAAAACACAAAGTTAAAAATTATAAAGCTATATATGATGACATATTTTTATGAAATTTATAATTGTTTCCACTATCTTATGGCTGATTCTCAAATGAGTTTTCACATAGAATGTCTCTATTATTTCTTGCATATCAGATTGAATTTTCTGCTGTTTTCACCGGTGCTAGAAAAACCTGTCTTAACACCCACTGTGTAAGACAAGTCATCTACTTATAAAGAAAACACTCCAACTTGCTTTTTATAATTGAACTGTGTGCTTAAGATGATTTTACCACTTTGAATGAACTTTTTACACAAATATAAGAAAAAAATGCAAGAAAAAAATGCTAAATGAAAATACTTAATTTTCAAAAATTCTTTCTGATATACGATGTAATATAATATGCAAGAAAAAGAATCATCAAACTTTGACTGCTCTCACAGATGGTAACCAACTACTGTCACAGTTTGGAACCGACTTATCACAGATTGGAACCAACTGTTGTCACATATAGGAAACGACTGTGATTCCCATCTGCATCAGCCTACAGTTTATTTTTTCTGTTGGAAAAAACAATTCTGTGTTGTTTCAAACTAAGTATTTCAGTAATTTTATCTTGGAAAAGTGCATCATATCACTGTTAAGCCTTCTTAAAAACAGCGTCCTGAGAATTATTTATGGTGATCTTCGTTTTTAGAAAGATCGGGAAACAAATTTATGAATTTAAATATAGACAGTAGACCAGTATATTAGAGGTATTGAGAGATTTCCTGAAATTTTATGTATTTTATCGTTAGCAAATATCATTTTCCAACTTGATTCTTTTAATTTGACAATTATATGAAACAATTTATATATTAAAAATAACATATTTAAACTTTAGAATAGCTGAATAATGTAAGTTAACAGAATAAGATGTTCTTAAAACATAATATTATTTAAGTAGGATTATAAGCTATTAGCAATAATTTTGTGCTAAATAATAATGCCATTGGTTCTAAACGATAAATATAAAATGTTTCTTTTATTCTTTTTTCACAGTTCAAACAATAATTTCGTATTACAGACAGCATATAAGTATATAGCTTTATACACTTTAACATACATATATTTTATTATTTACACAAAAATACTAACCCAAGTGAAATAAAAAGAATATATATTTACACAAAACATCTGGAATTACCTTTTTGATTATACATCTATATCACAGATAGAGTTTTGATAATTTTTGCACTGTAGGGAAGACAGGTGATTGCCATAAAAATAAAATTCACAGTTGAAAAAACAAAAACAAAAAACTTTTACAAAAATAAAGTACAAGAATTTTAGCTAAGTCATACAATTTACTCATTGTACATGCACCACAGCCCTGATTTACAAAGAAAATTGATGTTCAAAATTACATCAATCAAAAATAAAAATACTCACAAATGAATAAAAAAATTCTTTTACAGGACAGTTGTACAACCTTTTAAGTCCAATTATGCCCTAAATATGATATCAAGTTCATTTCTTAAAACACTTTTTAATGCAAGAGTCCTGTTACAACCTCTAAAAATATACCCATTTACCATAAAGCTGAACCACCTTTTAACTTACCGGTATTTTGCTTCTTGGCCATTTAATTAAGTATTTTATATGGCAGTCAAAATACCACTTTGATATCATTATGCTACTATTATAAAAGATTATTTCACATTTTGTACTACTAACTTCTGGTCATAAACATCTAGTATGCATTAAAACCATTTTCATTTTTAAAATGTTATCTAATATATGTTTACACTTTCTTAATTGGAAAAACAAAAATTTCTAGGACATAATTTGCCATTATCTATTGCAATTAAAACTACATCTTAAATTTTTTTTTACAACATACGATTACATTTTTGATGATCAAATATAATTCAACTCTTTTATCACAAATGTCACAATAAAAAATTATAATATCACCTTAAAAATAACAAATATAATGTAGGTTTAAAAATGTCTTAACAACTGTCAACTATTGCCATAAAATTATATTATATTTAGAGAATAAATACTAAAAATGCCATAACAACCTTCATATTTTGCCATAAAATTACATTACTTTTAGAGAAAAAAAAACTAAACAAACTAAAAATGCCATTACAACCCAGTGATTTAAATTGTATTGCACAACTCACACTTGACAAGGCCTTCACTCTTCTTTTATAACACTCTGAAATATTATGTGTACACACATGCCTAGGGATTTAACTTAAGATTTGCAATGAAAAATTAAACCCCTTTTAACAAAATTGCAATCGCAAAATAATTAAAGAAATTACCTTAAATGTTATGAATTTAAATTACTCTTGGTGGCAATAAAAATGAAATGTTATACAAAGATTGATAGTTAATTTGCATTTGAAAGTGGGACTCACTTTAATACATGTAACAGTTAATAAAAACAACATTTGACAAAAATAAAAACAACAATAAAAGCACATTACATGTAACAGGAATGTGAAATCTTGGAAAATGTTTCACAACATCATGAAACATGTAAAACTGTTGAAACTTGCTGAGGAAAAAGAATACAATGTTTTTTATCACATAATTTTTCAAACTATTTCTTTACTGAAAAAACTATTAAAATGGCAAGTAGTTTTAGTTAATTTTGACCATCCCAAAATTTCTGAATAGTCTGGACTAAATTCAGTGAACCTGAATTCTATATAAGACCTAAATCATAAAAAACAATGGTTACACATTACATAATATAATCTAATATCACATATCATTAATCTACAGCCTGATGTTCCACGGCAGGAATCCTATATGTAGGGCTTTTTGTTTCTCTATGTTTAAATGAGACTCCCCGAACAGGTTCATTCCAGTCTTGCACCGTACCACGTGACAACAGGAAGTATAGCACTGCACCAGAGAGATACACTGCAGCTGCGATGTAAAACACAATTTGCCACTGGTCCCGTGTGTCCTGAAAAAAGAACATTTCATTCAATTAAACCAAAACCATATGAATTTATGTAATGGATTTGCCCTGTTTTTGAATTTGGAGCAGTTATTTGTCCATTCAAAGTTAAAGGGATTCAATATGAAAATACAAAAAATGAGCCACCAATAGTATAGAGCCTTGTCAAACCTGGGCAGAATCTTCACTAGTGGAAAGTTCTAATCTTTTTAGTCAAAGAATGTAAGAGTTATTATAAGTTATTTCAATAATAATAAATAAAATGATGAAATAAAAAACTTATCATAGAAACCTGGATATCAGCCTATCTCTCAGAAGCCGTGTAATAAAAATTAAAATGGTAAACACTTTAGACTAGGATTGATGGGGTCTGAGTAAAAATGTAAGGTGCAGCATCAGTAATGCCCCCTAGCACCAGATGTAGCAGTATTCTATCTTAAACTGAAAATGTTAGCTTCTGAAGGATCAGAAAAGTATAACAATACTGTGATTAAATATGGGGCAAGATTTAACAGCTAAATAACGAAAATTTACATGATACACAGACTGCAAAACAACACAGTTTATCAAATTATGTTTCCCATACATGCCATAATGTCCCGGATGTCTGGGAAAGTCCCGGAAATAAAGTGTCTGTCCCGGAGATGATTTATGTCCCGGTAAACAGTTTCCCCTATATAAGCTTCATCAGTTGATATGATAAATAACAAAGGAAATGACATAAACTTACCAAACATACATCTACGTTAATAGACACCACATTTGGCATGTAAAAATAAACATTATAAAAGAAAATAAATCATCTATTACTGTTTTATACAATATGTTAAAAAGATCACAAACCAACACAAGTTCATCGAAACATGTTTCACTTTAATAAGCTTCATCAGCTGATATGAAAGTTTAGAAACGTATTAAAAATATTATCCTAAAAACATCATTAATAGCTAATTTGATATTTGGGAAGAAAAAAAAATCAGTAATATTCTGAATTATACCTAATAAATTTCATTATGTTTTCATAAAAAGTTCTAATAACTTTGCTCATTATCCCTGGGTTTTAATATTTTTGCACATATATGGTATTAGTATTATTATTAATAATATTCAGAGGCCATTATTTGGAAAGTTTATTAATAAAATCAAAACTAATAAGAAAATCCTATGCCAAGACTTGCAAAGGTTTCATAAATAGCCATTTTTCCCCGAGATTATTTCATTAGTTTATTCTTTTACTATTAAAATTTTGTAATCAGAAAATTTAAATTAAGGGAAGCCTAGCTAAAACTTCAAATATTTTTAGACCACTGGCAAGTGGTTTGAAGTCAATGACCTTAACCACTCAGTCAATGACTTTATAGTGTTTCAACAAATATAAGTACTGAATGGTTTGATTATTTCATTAGTTCATTCTTTTACTTTTAAAATTTTGTAATCAGAAAATTTAAATTAAGGGAAGCCTAGCTAAAACTTCAAATATCTTTAGACCATGGCTTTACTGCGTAGTTTACAAATTCATTTTCAGAAGGCACATTGAAATTTTTCAAACCTTTGCAAATACATTTTTTTTGTATTAACATCTTTACTTTAATAACTATTTGTTGTGGGTTTAATGTTGCACCAAAACTTTTATGGTCACATGATGACCTTTCAGCTTTACTGGTGAAGGAAAACTGTAGGTGCCTCTCCAGTTATAACTTCAGGCACAAGTGAGCATCTGAGTAGAACCACTGACATTCAGTAATCTAGCTCGATAGCTTCCTTACATGAAAGATTCTTATGTTTCTGGAAGGATTTGAACCCACAACAGTGACGGGTAAGTGGTTTGAATTCAACAGCCTTAACCACTCAGCCAAAGACTTAATAGTCTTTTAACTAATATAAGTAAGTACTGAATAGTTTGATACAGCCGCTATCTTTATTGCACATATTAGTGTAAGGGTTGAGGTGGCTTTGTGGTTGAGGTGTCTGCCACTCAATCTAGATAGTGTTTGTGCCCTTCTGGAGTCACAACCATATTACCAATTACAAGTTATCTGCACAATTAAGCTTAATATAAAACAATGTTCAAACTAATTTAACAATTAAAACACATTATATCTATAATTTATCATTTATTTTTATTCCTGGCCAAACTCGTAATGTTCTATAAACAGCCAAGCCAAATAATTCCATGGCCTAGTGGTTAAGGGTTAAGTCTCTCAACCCAGGGGTTGCAGATTTCAGGCCTACCCTGGGCCATGCCAATGTTTTTCTATATCACACCACTTGTTTGTTCCCATAGGCAGAGTTGAATATGATTAGTATAAGTTGCAAAACTTGTTTCAAAAACATATACTAATAACCGAATGTTGAATGATTGATAATAAATTAAAAATATTTCTGTTACATGTTTATGAGTCAGCCAGCCAACCACTGCAGGTCCTAAGAAACCAGGGATAGTAGCCCAGGTGTTAGACATTCCCATTAGCACTCCTGTAAGTAACAAATAACAAAAAAATTATATTTCTACATAAACTGAATGTTTGCAAAATATCTACAAAGATATATATGATCAGGATCTATACATTTGATATAAAAAAAGAGTTAAAGACAACAGCACCTTACCATCAAATTTCATTATTTAAAACTGTATTAATTTATGACATTGACAATGTCTAAATGTTATTATAGACAATTATGTCTAAATGTTATTACAAACAATAATGACTAAATGATATTACAGAAAATAATGTAAAAATGACTTTTTAGAAAATAATGTCAATGTCAAAACAGAGAAGATTGTCTAAATGTTATCACAGACAAATGGCATTACATAGAATAATGTCTAAATGACATTACAGACAATAATGTCTGAATAACATTACAGATAATAATGTCTAAAGAAAATGTTGAAAGGACATTACATAGATTCATGTCTAAATGACATTACAGAGAATAATGTCTAAATGACATTACAGACAAACATGTCTAAATTACATAACAGAGAATAATGTTTGAATGACATTATTGACAGTAATGTCTAAATGTTATTACAAACAATAATGTTTCAATGTTATTACAGATGATAATGTCTAAATGATACTACAGACAATGTCCCAATGTTATTACAGACATCAAAGGTATTATATTGGTCACAACACTGTACAGGTCATAATTATGGTTTCTTCCAAGCTTTGCTGGTACAGGGAGACCTCACAGGCTCTAGATGTACATTATTTCCTGGGTAGAACCATCAAGCAAGCTGGACATACAGATTATAGAAGATAGACTAACAGCTTGATTTAGACAAAGTAGTGTTGAATAACAATGAAGTGAGAAAATTCCCACGTTTTCACTTGTGCTTCACACTTGTCAAAATATTCCATTTTTCTTACTTCTCAGTGTCATTATTATAGCATATTCACTAACAAAAAAACACCTTTATTTTTCAAGCAAACTTACCAGCAAAGTTTGGAGACAGATCAATATGATTAACCTGGAATCCACCCATTGTGAAGCCCCCTGCTGTGAGACATAACACAAGCATGGCAACAGCTGCTGTCTGGTTACATCCAGCAAACTGTATAAGAATCATTGTGAGGCCAGGAACCGCAAGACCTGAAATATTGAAATCATTGTGAGGCCAGGAACTGCAAGACCTGAAATATTAAAATCATTGTGATGCCAGGAACCCCAAGACCTGAAATATTGAAATCTTTGTGAAGCAAGGAACCACAAGACCTGAAATATTTAAACCATTGTAAGGCCAGGAACCGCAAGACCTGAAATATTGAAATCATTGTGAAGCAAGGAACCACAAGACCTGAAATATTGAAATCATTGTGATGCCAGGAACTGCAAAACCTGACATATCTAAATCATTGTCAGGCCAGGAACCACAAGACCTGAACTATTTAAATCATTGTGAGGCCTAAAACCACAAGACCTGAAATATTTAAACCATTGTGAGGCCTAGAACCACATGACCTAACGTTCTATCTAGATCTTGCAAAATTATTTTTGAAACAATATATTATACAGATCTTAAAAATTTCATGTGAACAGGGTTCTATTAATTTATGTTTGAATTTATGGTGATCTTCATATTGAAATGTTCAAATCATTATCTCGATATAATTTAGACCTTTTAAATTTTTTGAATATTTGTTATTTAAGTTCTGTTATAATCTAAGACTTGGTAATTTATTATTTGAATACAGTCTTGATCTTGGTTGTTTATGTCTAAATGTAATTAGAACTTTGATATATATGCATAAATGTTGGTTATTTATTTGGATATTTGTCATTAATAACAAAATGTGTTGAGATTTTGGTCACTTATGACTGGATTTTGTCCGAAACCTAAAAGTGAATTGGTCCATACTGGAAAGTATGTAAAAACATAAAGTATTATGTCGATAGTATTTAATATCAAACTAAAAAAGAAGTGTGAGATACATGAATGGATACTACATATTTATATAAAGTATAGCAAATAATAAATTGTTCTAAAATCAAAAAATTGTTTTTTTTCATCAAATAAATGTCCATACTAAATCACGTAAAACTAGATGAACATTTTTTGTTCAAGAAATATTTTGTTAGAATATACAACTAATACGTTTCTATTGTTTTCATCAATATTTGAAATACTTATTGAAAATTTGCCCATTGTAGTTGACCAATCCACTTTAACCACTTGACCACAGTGGACCAAAGAGATAGAAAATGGTTAAATAAAATATATTCATACCAAAAACAGTGAATAATCTTCTAGTTGCCACGGTAGAAAGGTAGCCCTTGCTACGTAGATAATCAGCTGTAATTCCAGATGAGTTCTGACCTATCCAACAGCCCAAATATGGTAACGCTGATAACATACCATTCTGAAAGAAATAAAACATTCAACAAGTGAGCCAATACTTTTACAGTTTGTCAGATATACCTATTAAAATAAAACATGTTGAGTTGTCACTTTTTTCAATGTTATGTATATAAGATAATCATTTATACAATTTTTATCTCTTTATCTAACATTAGAGATTTATTTACTTCTTTATATAACATTACAGATTTCTTTATGTCTTTATCCAACATTACAGAATTCTTTATCTCTTTATCTAACATCACAGATTCATTTACCTCTTTTTCTAACATTACAGATTTCTTTTCCTCTTTATCCAACATTACAGATTTCTTTATCTCTTTATCTAACACAGTTTCTTTATCTTTTTATCTAACATTACATATTTCTTTATCTCTTTATCTAACATTACAGATTTCTTCAGCTCTTTATCTAACATTACAGATTTCTTAATCTTTTTATCCAACATGTCATATGAAATGCCATGACACCATGAACTTTCATGAAATATTCAATGGATGACACCACATAATTTTTGTGAAGATACAATTTGTGGAATACAGATAGTTGATCAGAAAATATGTATTAATTCTAATGATGTAATTTCATCAATGTATAATTTTTTTTATATAAAATTACATCTTGAATAAGATCTTACTATATTGATGAACTCACCTTCTCTATATCAAACTTTAGGATACTTTTCATATATAGATTGGTGTACATCAAACTTTAGGATATTTTTCATACAGCATGGTTTACTCACTGTCTTTATATCAAACTTTAGGATATTTTACATACAGCTTGGTTTTCTCACTGTCTTTATATCAAATTTTAGGATATTTTACATACAGCTTGGTTTACTCACGGTTTTTATATCAAACTTTAGGATATTTTTCATATAGCTTGGTAGTGTTGTAAGCATCGTATAAAAGCCCCAGTTGTTGGAGAAGTGAGCTATACAGACCGCCCACACTGCTGGACATCTCAGAATAGCTCCCCATGGTGTTGCAATATCCTGAAATAATCATACATACTGTATGTGTAAAAGCTTATCACCAGTTCAGTAAGCAGGATTATATAGAGGACTTGTTTTTGAGAAGAGAGGGAAGGAGGGATAGGGTTGGGTAGCAAAATCGCAGCGTTAAAGTGTACCCCCTCCCAGATGCATTTAACCTGTCTTGTTTATTTGCTGAACACTTGTGATCATCACATCAGTTAGGCTATGTCCTGATATAAAAGAGACATAAAAACCAAATGATCATTAGAAGTAATAAATTTCCAATATCTGCAATACCTCTTTCATACCAACACTTGATTCGATAAATTCTCGCTCTTCTCTAGAAATCTTAGGATGGTCTGCAGGAGTGTTATATGCAAACAATGTCCAAACCAGAAACCAAACACATGCAATACCACCTGAAATATTTGATGATAAACCATAAACATAGAATACCATGGTCTATAATATATCAAATAAAAAGCCATATACATGGAAAGTTTTCGGTAATATGCTGTATAAAATTAATTTATAAATGGACCTTAAATTCTTTTTATCAAATGTTTAAATTATAATCAAGTAACCATTAACCAATAAATCAAGAATTTAAGAACATATCATAAAATCAAGAATTTTTAAACTTATTCAAAATTGAAGTATTTTCACACAGATTGATTGATTGATTGATGTATTTTTTTTTGGACCGGGTGGTCAAGGATAACCTACGAAAGTGCAAGCACTTATTTCCAGTAGGGTCCTTACCTCAGCAGACTCTAGAGGCAGCTATGAGATACAAGAGAGTCTGGGAACCAGTCCCTAGCTCTTATTGAATAGACCACTTGGTTCTTTTACATGCCAAGTGTATAGCACTGATACATGCAATGATAACCTGGGTTTGTTACCAGTACACCTCTAGGTAGGTGGGAAACACTGAAAGTCTGTCTGAAAAATTCCAAGGGTGTTACCCAGGATCCAACCCGGAACCTCAGGAGTGACAGTCTGTGGTCTAACCAACTGAGCTATTGCGCCACAGACTAAGATATATTTCTGTTCAACACCATTGTACTGTCAAAAAGGTCAGACTTACCAAAGACATAGAATACTGAGGGCCATCCACCAGCAAATGTTTTCTGATCGCACAACCAACCAGAAATTGGCAGAGCAAACACTGTCCCTAGTTGAGCTCCTATAATGAAACGAAAAACTGATGCCTTAATATGAATTCAAGTTGATTAAAAATAAATATACTTTCATCAAACTGATTCTGGTGCTGGCTTAAGATAAATAAATCAGAATTTAGTCCTTATCCTAAGGGACCCAAATGTACCAGAAGGAGCCAGGCTAGCCTATAAATCCATGCAGTCTATCATGGCTCTCCACTGTCAAAATGAATTTTTTATCATAATATTTCAAAAATTAGTTGTTAATGGACAGTCTAAACATGCAGTACTAATGCTTGTCTGTTAAAATGGGATATAAGTCCAAAAACATTGCCGTCAAAAGTATGTCCCTAATGGTTTAACAATTGCATCTTGTCATGATAAGACAGTATTCCAAGTTTCATGTCGATGAGCTTAAAAAAAGTTTGAATTATTGGCTACATTAAATTTTTTACATGAAAACAAAATGCCTCCCAAGCATTACCATAGTTGCTAGACTTTTCTTTGTTTGTTTTTTTTTCTAAAAATGGAAGCTCTTAAAATGTTAAGGGTTAAATCTAAAGCAAGTAAGGCATTGTTTTAAATTATTTGTACCTTTCAATGTCGACAAGAGGAGTATTATACTGTCCAATCCACTTTACCACTTATTTGTACACCCATCATTGGAATATGCAAACCTAGGTCACTCAGAAGGTTCGAGTATAATGTTACTTGACATTTAACAAATTGCAACACATTTATTATATTCTGTGGTATTTTGTTGACATAATATATACATGGACCAAGTATCATTTAAGGTTCTAGCATGGTATAGGATAAATAGATAAATGCACCGTGTCAGTTTGAATTGAGAAGCAAAACATACCTGCATATGAGAATCCAGCAAGCTTTGATCTTTCATACAGTGGAGCCCATTTGCCCCACATAGCATGCATAGCAGGAAATGTCACACCCTGTAAAAAAACAGAACATACCACTTTGATTATAAATTTTGGTTTGACATTGGAATCAATTCTCATTGTATCTTAACTTTGTTTATTTTCTTACATGTAGAGTTTTTATCCATATTATAAACAAGAAGTGAAAAATAAGCATTTGTTAAGGTTAAAAGTTCCAGTAATTCCTGAAAAAATTCACATGCAAATTTACTCAGGGCTTCTGCAAAGTGATCAGTTTGGGATCATTTCATCTTTGACTTGACTGTAATATTTTTCCATCTTTACATATATAATATTACTCACAATATCAGAGATTTTGCAGCCTCTGACTTCAAAAATTTTGAAATAAATGCAAGCCCTGGGAAGACATAATGTTACTTCAGTTGACGATATCAATGTCACATGCCCTATTGTGACATGATTTTACTCCAGTTGACAATATCAATGTCACATGCCCTTTTATGATATGATGTCATTTCAGTTGACAATATCAATGTCAAATACACTGATCAATGATGCTTCATTTAATGCAAATTTAAGCTCCAGAAATAAATATCGTTTTTCCTCTCTGTTTTTAATGTTTAGATAATTGATAAACATTATGTTTGATCCTCATTTTGTAAAGATGGCAGCATTAAATGTGAAATGATTTGTTGCCTTCCATTAAAACTACTGAAGAACTTTTAACTTTACTAATATCAAAATGCTCAAGATTATTCAGTAGGGGGGGGGGGGGGGGTAAGTTTATTAACTGTATGGTTGTTCGGGCTTTATGGGCCTTTAACTATCAGGTAGACACCTTTGATGATACTTTAAATGCAGTATTTATTGATACAATTATCCATATACATGTGTATATACCTCTCCTAGTCCCTCCAGCACTCTAACTGCAATAAAGACTCCTACATGGTACCGTGCAGCTATTGGTGTTACCAGTGTAAGCACCGATGTACATAACACACCTAGCCCAAACAGCCACTTAGCCCCAAACTTCTCAGCCATCCAACCCCCTGGGATCTGTGTAAGAATGTAACCATAGAAGAATGATCCAAGAATGTAGTCCTGTAGATCTGTACTCCAGTCAAACTCTCCTTCCTGTAAAATATAAAGGATTTCTTGAGGGTTTGGTGCAAAATAGCTGTAACTCATATAATATAATGAAGGAATTATGTCCATTATTTATTTTTTTGTTTGAAGTGAATATGACTTGTATATATATATATGTATATTTATAATAGTGCAAATAAATGTCTCGAAAACTGATTGGCTTAAACACTGCATACTATGCTGTATACATATATATACCATAAAAATGGTTGTCAGACATATTTTCAATCATAATTGTACAGAAAAAGACTTTATTTTCTTTTGGATATCAATCAAATTCATGCATTTGTTTTACTTTATCAAAGATTACACTAACTGTTTCTGTTTACATCTGAAACCATGTGGTGGAACTGCTTCAATCCTTATTAACTCAGAGGTTATTATGCATAATAGCCGAGGATGTTCTGATTAAGACAGATTACATTAGACGTTCAACAACTGCGTGAAAATCTGACATAATCTTATTGTGCATCATTTTTAATTAATTTTCTTATTGTGCATCATTTTTCAATGAAAACAGTCTTAATTTGCTGTTTTATTTTCAACTTCTTGTCAATATTAAAAACTTGTTATACAAGCTGCTGACGGGAATTATATGGTAGAATTAATATAGCCTTACTGTCTACAAGCTAAAATTTATGACTAAAATAACAACTTAACAGGGCAAGCCTTACAAATGCTGTTTTTTTCCCCCCAAAATTATATAACATTTTGTGGTTATTCAACTTAATAATTAAATCCAGGCAATATTTGTGAAATAAGACCTTTACAAAAAAGACAGCACTATTTATACATTTAGTCATAATGACACCACAGCACTATTTTCGAAACATTCAGCTTTTAAAATAACATGTTTGTATTTAGTTTGAGGCATCTCAACTTTTTGTACAGACAGCAAATCTCAAATTTTGACTTGAATTTATTCTTCTTAATTGTCAGCACCTACATAATTATAACCTTCATTTAAAGAGTACTCAGAAGGGAAAAGAGTCAACTCGGCCCTATACCAACTCGGCACGGGTCAACTCGGCACGGGTCAACTCGGCCCACTTTACAAAATATATATAACGTATTTACTTTGCTTTGCATGTTGTTAAGGTAAATGAATAATAAGAATATCATATTATTATATAATTATACGTTGTACTTCTGCCGAAATAAAGTATATTTAGAAAACAAAGTTATTTATTTGTCTTGCAGATTCGATAAAATTAATATACATATAATAAAAATGTGTTTCCTGAGATGCATTTTGTTTATAAAGTAATTTTTAAAAAAAAAAAGAAACAAAAACTTGTTAACTTTATATCATGAGCTTATAATTGATTGCAGGTGGTCACTAATCAATTTTGAATTCATGAATGTCAATGAGTTAATCATAATTATCACCTAATTAATCGATATCCTTAACATACATATTGATTGATAATAACAGCCCATGACAATAAGAGTCCTTTAATGTCTTTTACCGATTTTTAAAAGTGGGCCGAGTTGACCCGTGCCGAGTTGGAATAGGGCCGAGCTGACTCGGGGGCCGAGTACGTTTTAGGGCCGAGCTGACCCGGATTCCTCAGAAGGCCTACTATAATCTTCATTGAAGGAGAGTAGTTTTTGTACGGAGGTGGAGAGTAGCTTTTTAAAGTAGGAGAGTAGTTTTTATTATAAAAAGGAGAGTACTGGTTTCATAAAAAGAAGTCTTTGTAAATAGAATAAGAGAAGTTTATGATAGTAGGAGAGTAGTTTTTGTTATAAGGAGAATAGTTTTTGTAAAGAGTAGTTTGTGTGTATAAAAGGAGAGTACATGTAAATTAGAGAGTAGTTTGTGAAAATAGGAGGAGAGTAGTTAGTGTAAATAGGAGGAGAGTAGTTTGTGTAAAATAGGAGGAGAGTAGTTAGTGTAAATCAGAGGAGAGTAGTTAGTGTAAATCGGAGGAGAGTAGTTTGTAAAAATTAGAGAGTAGTTTGTGTAAAAAGGAGGAGAGTAGTTTGTGTAAGGGGTAGTAGAATAGTTTTCGTAAAGGGTAGTTTGTATGAATAGAAAGAGAGCAGTTTATGTAGGGGGTAGTAGTATTTTTTGTAAGGAGAAGGAGAGCAGTTTTTTTGTTAAGAGTAGTTTGTTTAAATAGAGAGTAGCTTTGTAAGGAGAGTAGTTTTCTAAGGAAAAAATGTCCCCTAGCTCCAGACTTAATTTCATGTTGTTTTCTTGATCTCCTGTTATGGTAATACTTACATTAGTTTTGGTACTGTTGAGGTTGTGATCTTGGCACTCATCAGATGTAGAGTTCTGGTCATCTTTGTGCTGGGGTTTCACCATATCAACCATGGCAACGCTCAGGTTTACTCTCATACAGTATACATTGACAAAGCCAAAAAATGCTAGGAATGCCAGCGAATGTCTGTATCCCCATCCTGTTCAATGGATAATTTAATTTTAAGGTAAAAAATATTTTGATTTTATTCTTGGTCTCCCCCATCCCTGCCGCAATTAAAAATGAAGGTTCTAAGGTATGTATAAGGTAAGACTACCTTTTTTTATATATTAATATAATATTAATTAATACTTTATATATAATTCTACACAATTTTCTTATAGAAAAAAAATTGAAAAATCAAAATGGCAAATAGAAAGTCTAGGGTAGGGTTTTAAAGGGGGTAGGTTCAGGGAGACCGGAAACCATATTTTTTGTTTTTTGCCTTAACATCATTACATTTATCTCTAAGTTTACATAAAATTTAAGCTTAATACAATCACTGTACAGTATTGTTAATTGTTTGATAAATAATTTCTTAAGGTTGTATAAATCCTGATAGCTAGATTACAAATATTTGGCTCACCCTTAATATATATCATTGAAAATATAATCTTATATGCATGTAAATAAAGCTTTAGTTATATCAGGTTTTTACACAAAGCCAATATTTTTGGTTGGGTTTTAACTTGCACCAACACAGTATAGCTATGCTTGTGTGACATGGTTGATTGTCTGTCTTGTATCAAGAGGTCAGTGGTTCACATTCCTGTCAGTGCCTAAGGATTGTTTAAAGTTTACATTAATTTAAATTTTAAACTGTTTGAAACACTGTTTGTCAATCCCAGCACATGCATTTATACATTCTTATCATATATATCATTAAAAATTAATATAGGCTATTTTGAAATATTTTTTATATTCCAACGTCTAAGATAATTCCATTTCCCAGTTCGCAATGGGCATTTCTATAAAATAATTAAATTTATTTTTCAAAATAGTGATTAAAGCGGTATTTCTTCATTTTACACAGACACTAAGTCTTGTGGTGTGGAGCTCAAAACACCAATTAAATCCGAATGAAATTTATATTTGTCAATCCCAGCACATGCATTTATACATTCTTATCATATATATCATTAAAAATTAATATACTAGGCTATTTTGAAATATTTTTTATATTCCAATGTCTAAGATAATTCCATTTCCCAGTTCGCAATGGGCATTTCTATAAAATAATTAAATTTATTTTTCAAAATAGTGATTAAAGCGGTATTTCTTCATTTTACACAGACACTAAGTCTTGTGGTGTGGAGCTCAAAACACCAATTAAATCCGAATGAAATTTATATTTGTCAATCCCAGCACATGCATTTATACATTCTTATCATATATATCATTAAAAATTAATATACTAGGCTATTTTGAAATATTTTTTATATTCCAACGTCTAAGATAATTCCATTTCCCAGTTCGCAATGGACATTTCTATAAAATAATTAAATTTATTTTTCAAAATAGTGATTAAAGCGGTATTTCTTCCCAAAATTATATGAGGCTATGACCTCTTCCAATCTTCCAACCCTGATTTACATCAGACTGATCCCGATATAGGCTACACATGTACACATAGGAATTTCCCTAAAAAAAATGATGTATTTTTTGTTCAGATTGGCAGATGGACAATCATATTTAAAAATGAATAACGTGGTAGTGGTTAATAAACACAAATATACCGTACGGCTAGCCACTTCCTATACTTAACCGTGTATTTCAGAATGTGGAATAAGCCTACATGGAGACGAAATCCGAAATTACAGTACATCCGAAAACTATTATAGTTATTCAAAACAAAGCCGTATTTCTCACCTCTTTTTGTGGAAAATATGACCTCAATAAATACCTTTTGGAGGTTTTAATGCAACATTTGAAGATGTGCTTCCCAATAACGGAACTTTATCTTCAGTTTGAATCATTTTTGACATATTTCTTACTCAACTGACGTTCTCAATTGGGCTATTCCAGAAATTATCCGCACCCCCCCTATGGAAGAGGTATTTTTTTGTCCAAGGGGGGGGTATTTAAAAATTAGGTCCAAGGGGGTCATATTTCAGATAACACTGTCCAAGGGGGTATTGTTTTGAAAAAGACAGGTTGTATGGAAAATATTATTTGTCCAAGGGGTATGGAAGAGATGTCCAAGGGGGGTATTAAATTAGACAATTTGTCCAAGGGGATCATTTTTTTACTGATAAGTTGTCGAAGGCGCATGTATAAATGCTTGTCCAAGGGTTATGGGAAATATTATCTGTCCAAGGGGTATGGAAGAGATGTCCAAGGGGGTATTTTAGACAATTTGTCCAAGGGGGTCATTTTTACTAATAAGTTGTTGAAGGCACGTGTATAAATGATTGTCCAAGGTGTATGGAAAATATCTGTCCAAGGGGTATGGAAGAGATGTCCAAGGGGGGTATTTCAGACAATTTGTCCAAGGGTGTCACTTTTTATTGATATGTTGTCCAAGGGGGTGCATGTATTAATGATTGTCCAAGGGTTATGGAAAATATTGTCTGTCCAAGGGGGTCATTTTTTATGGATGTGTTGTCCAAGCGGTCATAAAGTAATATTTGTCCAATGGGTATAGAAAATATCGGCTGTCTAAGTGGTATGGAAGAGGTTTTCATGGGGGGGCATTTTTTACCAATGAGTTGTGCCCAATGGCAGAGATACATAATGAGGAATATTGTGTCACTGCCAAAGGGTATGGTAAGTGTGGTGAGTATGAAGTGACATTTTAGAGCTCTCCACTCGATGCCTTCACAAAACGGTTTCGGTGCTTTTGTACTTTATGGAAAACAGTTGTGGAAAGTCAAAGGTAACCAGGGTAACTATGATAGCCTAGAAAACTAGGGGTCCAGGCCTAAATTTTAGGGGTCCAAAATTATATTGGCTCTTGTTGCTGGATCATGAACGCCACCTTTCCTTGTTGATCTGGTTTATTATATTTTCTTAATCGAACAAAAATCATAATCGATCATCGTAAATAATCGAAACAACCCTTTTCGATCAATCATTGATTATATAATCAAAGGATTCACAATAACAAAGTAAATATGTATAATGTACATATCATGCTTTAATATTATAAGAATTCCATAATTAATATTCTATATTTTGTGTAACTACCACTTAATAAACTGAAATAGCTTAAAGATACTATGCTCATCCTTGAGTAAAATATTTTAACACAATTAATTCATTAAAATCTATGAAATTATTATGTCTCTTTTCAAATAGAGGAATGAATAAACTACTGTGATACTGTATGTATTCGAACGCATACTTTATTACGGGGTCAAGTAAAGTTGGTCCTTTCTTAACCCTTTCGCTGCCAGAGGGTTATTGTTTTATTGATCACCTATTTGCCAGGGGGTTTTCTTAGAAAATACTATATTATTAGTTAATATAATAATTATTATATGTTATTAGTATTATAATTATTATATATGTTTCCAAATCTGTGAGTGAAATAATAATTATTGTTGGTGGTATTATTTTCTTTATATTTATTTTATTTTTAATATTATTATTATTAATTTATTATTATTACTATTATTATTATAGAAACGACTAAAGCCGTCCATATGGCAAATACCTATGGCAGTGAAAGGGTTAACAAAACTGCAGAATCCTATCTGTAGAGTATGGACATAGAGTTCTGATAGGGTGTGGGTTCAAACCCCAGAAGAGGAAATTTATTTTTTTTAATTTTTGTCTTTTTTGTAGGGCCAGATTTTGATTTTTTTCTAAATTAAGAACAAATTTAAGTTTAATGCATCCTGTGAATTGTGTGAAATTGGAAAGGGTAACAACTTAAAATGATTATTATAAATTTGAAATCGGCATAGTAAACATACTTTATATTTTTAACAAAAGTTTAGATTTGTATCAAGGTAATCATTATTTAAATAATATTTTGATGCCCCTATTTTATAAGACAAATTGAAAATCTAACAGGTTTTCTTACTCCAACCTCTTTTTTATTTGATGTAAAATAACAAGTACCTGTCTCAATAAACCAAAAAAATCTTTTCAATGACATTTTTCATTTTTATTTATTTGTAGTTATTAAAAACCTATGATTCTTTATTAACACTTTTTAACCAAGTAAAATATGAAACTACCAACACTTTTCTTCGAATAATAACATATTCTTTCTTGTTGTTGTAAAAAAAAACAGATACAAAAGTAAGAAAAGTTATACATGTATTTCAATTGTCAATATTTTTCAAACAAGATGGTAATTTTTTGTAATTTTTTATATATATGTCAATATAGTACAGTTTATTAATATAATTTAAGGTTTTAAATACCTTTAGAAAAAGTGTTGCTTATATATCTAATACCTTGTTTTATGTATGACTTAAAACATAAATAATTATGACCAACAGACACAGAAGACAATTAGAGAAAAATCAGTGACTGCTGACTTTTGCAATGAAAAACCATATTTTTAATGAAGACAGATAGATCTAGATGAAATCTTACCATTAGTATTACTACTAGCAACAGAACTTAATAACCTTAAATGTATCTTTGTTACATCTTTCTGTCTTGATGGAGTAATAAAGGCTGAAAAGTCATCTGACATTTTTGATTTTTAGCTCGACTTTTCTATGAAAAGGGGAGCTATCCTACTCGCCCCGGCGTCGGCGTCGGCGTTGGCGTCACACCTTGGTTAAGTTTTTCGTACCACCCCACTTTATTTCAGAAGTATTACAAGTATGGCTTTGAAACTTACCATACTTGTTCACCATCATAACCTCCATCTACAGACAAGAGTACATAACTCTGTCAAGGTTTTTGACAGAATTATGGCCCTTTTTTGACTTAGAAAGTGTATTGAGCTTGGTTAAGTTTTTTGTACCACCTCACTTTATTTCAAAACCATTGGAGGTATTGCTTTGAAACTGACCATACTTGTTTACCATCACGACCTTCATCAACAGACAAGAGGACATAACTCTGTCAAGGTTTTTGACAGAATTATGCCCCTTTTTGACTTAGAAAATACATTGAATATGGGTAAAATCCACTTATTGCCTTAACCCTTTGAGATATTGCTTTGAAACTTTTAATGCTATTTCACATCATTACCCCCATCTGTACGCAAGAGAAGGTAACTCTGTCAAGGATTTGTTTTAAAAATTAAGGCCTTTTATCGACTTAGAATCTTGGTTAAGTTTTTAGTACCAGTCCACTTTTTGACTGAACTGTTTGAGATATTAATTTGAAAGTTGGAATACTTGTTTACAATCATGATTCCCAAACATGTCCAGGAGAAGGTAATTCTGTCAAAGATTTTATTTGAATTATGGCCCTTAACTGTCAATGTTTTGTATTATAGGCAAGCACTAAAAAACTTAAAAAATCTAAAAAAATTCATTCCTATCCACTTGTTCACTTTACCATAAATTATGTCATATAAACATTGCTGTAATATTCAAGGGTATCAAACAACTAGTTCACTTTAAAAATACAGAGATTCTTGTATTGCCTTTTACTGCAAAAACTTTTTTTATTGGCAAGCAATAAAAAAGTCGAGCGCGCTGTCTTACGGACAGCTCTTGTTAGAAATGTGTGATATAGTTAAAATACAGTCATGAAGAGAAAGGAATGAACAGATAAGTTATTATTGTGCATTTTATATTGTCTCAACCTCATGTGTTAATTTGAATTGCCTCATCTTATAACCTTTAATATCATTACTGTGGTTGAATTAAATCAGTGGAGTATAACTGCCTGTTATAAACTAACATGTAGTGCTACATGACTGGTCAGTGATCAGCTGATTCTATAAATTTAACCCATCTTGTCAGAATTGTTTTATACCTGACCACACATCAGCTGCAGATTGTTTTATATGGAAACTCTGCTGGGAACAATTTAATCTGCCAACACATCATTTAGATACTGTCCTAAAGTATAATTGCTCATTGGCATGCCAGTGAAATGTGGAATTACAACTAATACTCTCCTTGCTTGATTTTTAGGCTGTAATTATCTCACTTTATATGTAACAAATTTAATATCTAAAAATGGCACAGGATAATTAACAAAAAAAAAACATATGATATCAAGAAGAAACTACATGTAGCATAATAATTTAACTTTTATGAATGGTTCATTGAATTTTTTAATTAAAATGATCCTGAAGCTAAACATTTATCCAAGGTTTAATTAAATATAAATGGAAATGAAAATTTCAAATAACTTGTTTAAATCATCATAATTTTGCACATAATTTATGGATGGGATTCACACTTGGACAAAATAGCACTTCCAATATGACAATTGATTCAAATGTGACTTTTGATTGACCTTTAACATCAAAGTCAAAATATGAAATTTGGATTTTTTTGTTACAAGAAAATTTAATTATGTTTTGTAAGAGTTACATACAATATGTATTTGCGTAATTATTGATAATTTATACCTTATTGAAATAGTCAGTATGTCTTCAAAGGACTTTTGCATCTAAAAGCTCAAAATATTGGAACTTTGACCAAAATTAGGGCAATTATTTCTATTCTTGCATAATATAATATTTTGTGTGTTTATAAATGCACAGTATTAAGGTTTTTGATATTAAACCTCATGTATATATATATATGCAATGACTTGAACTTTTTCATCTAGATCAATTTTGTTTAGATATTCTTTGTACATTTGCAGAGCCTTGTGAATGATTTACAGAAAAGTAAAAAATTAACTTTTGCCACTTGAATCGGTTATTTTAGGGAATTTTAAAAGGAAACAAACAAAAAAATCAGATAATTTAAAATATTACATGCCAAATTCTTGAGTTAAGTTATTTAATTGTTTTTTATTAATATTGTATGTACCATATTTGTATCATATCTTCTTTGTTGAAGCAAAACATGTTTATTTTATATATTACATAGAGATGTGTAGCAATTATCAATATTTTTCTAATAATCAAAATTTGAGCAA